TGTGTGTGTGAGTGTGTGTGTGTGTGTGTGTGAGTGTGTGTGTGTGTGTGTGTGAGTGTGTGTGTGTGTGTGTGTCTTCAGGTGGCCGAAGCTCTGCCCGCAGAGGCCAGAAAAGGGCACCAGATCCTTTGAGCTGGAGTTGTGGTAACATCTGACCTGTTGGGTGGCTGCTATGATCAGACTCTGGTCCTCATTCTTACACAACAGGCCCTTCTAACCACTGAACCGTCTCTCTAACCCTGTTACATATGTTACATACTTACAATACCATCCTTATCTCAACTCTTTCTAGACCCTGAACTAGAATTTGGCTCTCTGTAATGGTGACTTAACTTAGCCACTGACTGTGACATTCCTCTGGAGGTCTCTGGACCATCGTTAGGGAAGTGGCACAGCAGGCAGAGCTGTCCGTCCAGAATGCCGAGATGTGAGCTATTTGCTGGGAGGGAGGAAGCGGCAAGGCAACAGGATATACTTGCAGAACCTTAGACAGAGCACACTTCAGGCAAGGCTTGACCCAGTGTCTCAGGGATGAGCCACAGGCTCTCACCTCTCCTCCCCTTCTTCTTCCTGTATGTTTCATCCTGACCGAGTCCTCTCATGTTTATTGGCTTCAGGGAAGACAAAGAAGCCTGGTGTGGCTGGAGTGTGTGCATGATTGGGGAGATTCAGGGAAGGCAGGCAGAAGGTGAGGGGAAGCAGGTCACACGTGGCCCTGTACACCTGGCAAAGAGTGACAGGCGGAGGCTTGGTGAGCCTTAACCAGGGGAGGTATGTGATTCCGAATTTGAAGGACCCCGTGGATGGGAACTATAGGACGGCTCGGTGAAGAGTTCGGGAGAAGGGAAGCAGGGATGAAGTAACGAGGGGCTGCCAACCACAGGTCCTCTGCTGGATAAGACTTAGGTGTGTGGCGAGAAAAAGAGAACCCGTGGCCATTTGTTGAATACAAAATTTAACCTGTTGTTTCCAATCTTATTTTTGCCAGAAACCCCAGAGATACATACTCGTTTTTATGTTAAATTGTTTGGGTTTGCTTGTATGAAAACTCTCAGCTTTCTGAAGAAAAAAGGGAGTGACTAATATGAGAAACAATGTGGAATTTGACCCCTCAAAGAATTCAGATGCCAGAATTAGTGGCAAAACATGAATTATGAATGTTTAAGACAAATGCGGCACTAGAGAGAGACTGAGTCACCCCAAAAGAACATGAAAACGTCAGAAAAGCAGATCTGTGAGAACCAAGGAAAACTTTCTTAAATGTTTTTATTAACGTATACGAATTATACACAATAATGGGTCTCAGTGTGTCATTGCCTACGTGTACATAACATATTTATTGTCCTTTCTTGTTCCCCTGGCTTGCTAAGCAGGAAACGCATGTGGTCAATGCAATATGAAAAGCTGCTCAACTTCCTGCTAGTCAGGTGAATGGACATCTAATGATCGGGTTTCAGTTTCTGCCCTTCAGATCAGCCAACCTCTAGACAATTCACATGCTGTGTTGATGAGGGGTGGGAAATGGACACACCATTTGGTGCCAATGGAGGTTAAGCTTGTTACAGTCCTTTTGGGAGGTAATCTAGCTAATGTACCTATTAAATGTAATATATGTCTACCCTTTGACCCAGCAATTCCATTTAGGGGAACATAATTTATGTAGAAATTAGACCATATAAAGATAGTATAAGGTTGGTATTCCAATATTATTTGTGATGAAAGAAAAAAGATTATCTGAAGAAAATCAAATGGTTGAGTGAATTCCTTCCTACTGTTTACAACTATGTGACTTTTTAAAAAAGGGC